ATTTTTGAGTACCACTCTGTATGCTCTTTCATTTCTAAGTTGATAAGTATGATAAACAGTACCTTTTGTTTTGAAAAAGTTTATAAGCAGCTTGTATTGCTCGGGCTGTTGAACATTTATTTTCACTGTATCGTCCGACATTGATTTTGTATAATATTGTTCTCTGTTTATTACACTATTAATATCAGATACCATATCAGAAAAATTATTTACATTATATAGAAATATAGGAGGTGGCCTTGTAGTTTTCTCGGTGTTATCAGTTTTGTGTTTTTGTTGTTTCGGACGGATGACCTTTGTTTGTTTTTAATGCATCGAACCTGTTTCGAGTCGGCGTTATGTTTACATTTTCGACATATTTATTAGCCGATGTGCGTCTGCGTTTGCTGCCTGGTTCTATTGTTTGCCAAGAAGTTGACGGAACTATTTCGTTCATAATCGTATCGTCTGATTGATTTTTTTCATTAATTGAACTATTAGTTTCTGATTGATGATTACTTGTTTGCTGCCTGGTTCTATTGTTTGCCAAGAAGTTGACGGAACTATTTCGTTCATAATCGTATCGTCTGATTGGTTTTTTCCATTAATTGAACTATTAGTCTTCTGTTTGTTGATTACTGTTTAATATATTCATTGTCCATCGTCGACGTATCATGAAGAATGTTGATAGTTTCAACTAACGGAGGGATAGAATAAGTTATATTTTCTTGATTTTGCATACTTGTAATAAATTATTCACTTATTTACAATTAAATGCCCCCCCTAAAAGGGGCATTTGTTGTACGAAACACTGTATCATTACACTAGATATTTGGTGATTAACAATCACACTTGTTGTTTACGTAACACTATTGCGCACTATTGAATTTCAGCTTCGATCCGTTCGGGTCGGCTGCTCGAGCTCAACTTCCAATAAATCTAACGTAAATATATATCAGTACTTTCATTTCTCATAAAACAATCATCGTGGACATTTCACCTTTTATCGATTATCAAAATTACGGTCCACTAAAGAAGCAACATTTGCTCGTCAGCTACCGAGCAGGTAAGACCACCCGGTAAATATTGTCAAGTGCACAAGTTGAGTAGTTTATGTGAAATTACGCAATAGTGTTATTATCTGGTTCTAGTGAATTCAGAAAAACATACACTAACATTAGTGCAGTGTTTCAAAAAGTCACAACAAATGTTACCCGTAAGGGTATACATTTTGTACAATCGTACAGTTTGTAAATATGTTAGAACCGTCAGAAAATATACCGAACTTCAATGTTCACTGCCGCTAGTAAAAAAAAAAAAAAAAAAAAGTTCTTTATGATCAAATTCAAACACCAATAGTGAATTTGTTCAACGACATCTGGAAGGAATAAAACAAATACGCAATCAACAGAACCTGCACGCAAATGCAAACAATATGAAACTAGACTCTGACCCCTCAACTCTGAGGCAGGCACACAAATCGTCCGTTATCAAATGCAATAAACAACATTTGAACTCCGCTGAATCTTCGTGGCAGGTACCAAAATTTGTTGTTAAACATGAAAAGTAAAATAAAAACATTGAAAATAATGCGGAATTAGTCAGTAAACTTTCTACTTCGGGACAGATTTCTAAATCGTCCGCTGTAAATAATAATACACAAAATATGAATTACACTGAAAACAATAAGGAATTAGACACCGAACCGTTTACTGCTTCTCAGGTAGCCAATCCGTCCGCTATTAAATGCAGTTCACAAAATCTTGACAACAATCAAGAATGAAAAGTTGCTGCGAATAAAAAACGACACCAAAGTAAATTGTTCTTTAATAATGACGCTGTAAAGAAAGTGACCTCCGAGGATTATTGGTTCAATCCGACGCCACAAAAATTTATTATGAAATTCTAGCAAAAAATACCGCCTTACCATCAGAAACACAAAAGGAAAAAACACAATCTAGCAGGCCTTCTCCAATATTTATCCACAAAGTAGGAGATATCAAGCCGATAGTGCAATTACTCAAAAACAAAGTTCAGAAACAATATAGCCTAAAACTGATCAGTTCTTCTCAGGTAAAAATCAATCTGGAAAATAGCAAATCTTATAACAAAATTCTAAAGATACTAAAAGAGCAAGATACACAACTATACCCATTCCAAGAAAAAAAGCAAAAAAACGTTCAAAATTGTGGTAAAAAATCTAAGTTACAGCACGAACACTAAGTTGCTTAAAGACGAAATTGAAGAGTTAAGTCACAAAGTAGTTCGTATCAAAAACATGGCAAGCAGAATTTCAAAATATCCTTTGAATGTGTTTACAGTTGAATTAGAACAAAATCTGAATAATAAAGACTTTTATAAAATCGATTACTTATACAAAACTAAAGTGCAAATCAAATCTAAGAGGTTTTCAAGGGAAATCGTTTAATGTAATCGTTGTCAAAGGTACGGCCATACAAGAAATTACTGTCACCGCACCCAAAGATGTGTGAAATGTGCTCAACATCATTTTACAAAATTGTGTAAATGGAAAAAAAGGTCGATCAAGTCAAATGTGCCCTTTTGTGGAGAGGATCACCCTGCCAACTACAAAGGCTATAGCAACTATAGAGAACATTTCCAAAGAAAATATCCTACTTTACGACAAAAAAACCACAACGATTTCAAACTCTACTTCAAATCCTATCTTAAGACTAGGACTAACTTTCGCAAACATTACCAGAATTAGAAACAGCGCAACACTGCCCGAAGACCCAACGAACACAAACAACAACAACTTTGGCTACAGTAATAACACCGATAACAATACAAATTATATAACAAACGACTTCACCGAACTAAAAAATATGATAAGATTCTTGATAGAACAAATGAGCACAATGTTTAAGCATAATCACGACCATTTTTACAAATAACAAATAATAATGTCTATACAACTAAAAATTGGCTTATGAAGTTCGAGCGGATTGAGCAATCATGATCACGAACTTAAATATTTTCTATACAATAACATAGACATTATGTTAATTTCCAAAACTCATTTCACCGATTTACACCATAGCATACGTTTTCAAAACTACCGGCTATACTACACTAACCATCCGAATGGCAGACCACATGGCGGTACGGCAGTTATCATTAAATCTAACATGGAACATTAGGAAATGGAATCATTTAATACCGACTTCCTATAAGCGACAAATATCTCAGTAGACCTTATGACCCACCAACTTATTGTGTCGGCAATCTACTGTCCGCCGAAACATAAAATTACAGAAAATCAGTTTTCAAAATTTTTCGACAGCCTTGCAAAAGAGATTTTAATGCCAAACGCACATTCTGGCGGTCGAGATTGATCACCCTGAGAGGGTGATAATTATAAAATGCGATTAGTAATAATGACCTCAGAGCATTTTCAACGGGTGAGCCCACTTACTGGCTAAGTGACTTAAACAAAATTCCAGATCTTATTGATTTCTTCATCACAAGAAACATTAACTAGTGGGGTGTATGGCATCGTGCCTTAAGGCAAATTGCTGTAACTTGCCGTACCGTAACGGAATGTACGAGGAATATTAAACGTTTCCAAATAGATTATTTGAAAATCTCCAGGGCCAGATAAAATTTCTATCACAATATTGAAAAAATTACCCGATAAAGCTATCAGAATGATTACAATAATTTTCAACTCAATACTGAGGCTAATGATTACTATACCAAGAAAGGACTTTCATCTCATTTTATCTTACAGGCCGATCAGTTTGCTGCCTTGTATTTCAAAACTTTTTGAAAAACTGATTCGTTGGCAAAACAAAGTTATCCTGCAGGATCAGGATCTAATTAGAAGCCACCAATTCGGGTTTCGCGGCAAACATTCTACTATAGAGCAAGTTCATAGGATTGTAAACATAAATCAACAACGCACTACACAGAAAAGAGTATTGTTTTGCAGCTTTCTTAGATCTCACGAAGGCATTTGACAAAATCTGGCACACAGGCCAAAGTAAAAATATGTCTTCCAGATACTTTATTTCTACTATTAAAATCCTATCTACAAAATAGAATTTTTTTTGTCAGTATAGCTAATACAGACTCAAATATCACTAATGTAAAATCAGGGGTGCCTCAAGGGAGCATCCTCGCCTCTACATTATTCTTAATTTATACAGGAGATTTTCCAATCTCTACGGACACAAGTGTAGCCATATTTGCTGATGATACGTGTATAATCGCCCGAAACAAAGATCCATTGACAACATCTCAACAAAGCTGAAAAATGGTTTTCACTGTGGCGAATAGAGGTCAACAGCACAAAATCGGTCTATGTAACATTCACACTATGCAATCAAACATGCCCTGCAGTTGAACTTAACAATACAATTATTCCTCCCAAGAAGTCGGTGAAATACCTTGGCATCCACCTGGACAGGAAATTAAATTGGAAAATACATATAATTAATAAAAGACAGCAAATAGATCAAATCTTTAAAAAAAAATTACTGGCTACTAAATAAAATATTCTGAACTCTCAATTTACAATAAATTGTTAATATACAAGGTGGTACTCAAGCGCATATGGACTTACGATTTCCAACTTTGGGGTACTGCAAAAAAATACAATCTAAACATCATCCAACGTGCTGAAAACAAAATTCTGAGGCAAATATTAAACGCTCCTCGCTACACCCCTTCATGGATAATCCATCAAGACACAGGCTTGCTCACAATAGAAAATTGGACATTTTCGTATGATATTTAACAGAGATAAATTAATTTAAATACAGAAATGTCAATTTATATTTATTTCTGAAACAATAGCAAAACATAGAGATAATTTTATGCTATATACTTTAAACTTTTCACCTATATATCATTATGTATCATTTATCCATTAGCTTCGAAGTACACGTCATAATTCGAATGTTTGAACAATCAAATGACAATTCTTATTAATATAATAAATTATAAATATCAGAATATATCAAATAACAAATTATAAATATCAGAATATTTTTAAATTTTCATCCGACTAATGATTCAATTGCCCCAATGGGGAGTGCCGCGGCGTAGCCAGTGAAGGTTGCTTTTCCGATAGATATTACCCTGAATCCTTTATCGTCTGCCACGTAGGACACTTGGTAAGGCTCTCCGTTTGTGTCTATGTATTTATAGGATCCCATAATAGTCAAAATTTTATCGGGGCCTCCCAACTGACCCTGCTCCTGTCGTGATTGACCGTCGCTAGTTTCATATCTGAAAAATTAACATAATCTTTAATATTAAAAATTTCGAAACCCCGAAATACCACCCTTTTTAAATGACTTATATTCTATTTTATAGGTCTTTTTAAAAATCAGATATACCAATTTTCAACTCCCTAGCTCCTTACATAACCAAATTATAATTAAAATTATTGAAAGAAGAATCTTTTTTAACTTCTCTTAGGTTAAGTTATTGTAATCGTCCAAAAATCGAAATTAAAATTTTTTGCATTTCTCGACGTTTTGAAGGTTTCTGAACATTTTGGCATACCTCAAAAAAAATGGATGTGTGTGTGTGTTTTTTGTGTGTCCGCATTTTTTCGTTCACGTTTTCGGGCGCACAGATCAACCGAATTGAATAGTTCAAAGAATATTCGATTCCTATTGATAGGGAGATGTGCTGATTAGTTTCTGGAAAAGGCAGGTCCAGCAGTTATGGAGATAAAGAGCAAAAAGTGCAGAAACTAGAAATCAAGTGTTTGAGAGAACGGAGCATCCGATTTGAATGATCTAAAAAACATTCAATTAGTAATGATTGGGAGAAGTGGTTATTAGTTTTTGGCAAAAGCAGGCCCAGCCATTTCAAAGATACAGAGCTAAATGTGCAAAAAATGGCAGTTTTTGAGAGAACTAGGCGTTCGATTTAAATGCTTCGAATAACTTTCTGCTTGTTTTAACAAAATAATTGTTTAAAATTTTTTTTTAACTTCCCGTAGGGTAAGTTATAGTAATCGTCCAAAAATCGAAATCAAAAATTTTTACATTTCTCGACGTTTTGAAGGTTTTTGAACATTTTGGCATACTTCAGAAAAAATGGATGTGTGTGTGTGTGTGTGTGTGTGTTTTGTATGTCCGCTTTTTTTCGTCCACGTTTTCGGGCGCACGGATCAACCGATTTGAATGGTTTAAAAAACATTCGATTCCTATTGATAGGGAGATGTGCTGATTAGTTTTTGGCAAAGGCAGGTCCAGCCGTTACGGAGATATGGAGCAAGGAGTGCAAAAAATAGAAAGCGAATTTTTGAGAGAACGGATCAACCGATTTGAATGGTTTAAAAAACATTCGATTCCTATTGATAGGGAGATGTGCTGATTAGTTTTTGGCAAAGGTAGGCCCAGAGGTTTCGGAGTTACAGAGCTAAATTTAAAAAAAATGGTTGTTTTTGAGAGAACTAAGCGTCCGATTTAAATGATTCAAAGAACTTTCTGCTTTTTTCAACAAAACAATTGATTTTGGAAAAAAAATTTTTTGATTCTAATTTTTTTTCAAAAAAATTTTTTTCTAATTTTGGACTAAAAATTCAAAAAATCACCCAAGCTAAGCACAGTCTAAGCGCCACTCTGGTAGAAATGTTTACGCAAGTGCGTTTAGACTGTTTCTGTACTGGAGCACTTTTCCAATTTTGTGAAAATTATTGAAAAATGTGAAAATGCCGCCAAACTGAGCACAGTATAAGTGTAAATGTCGCACAGAATTATTTGCAAATGCGTTTAGACTGTGACTATGCGGGAGCACTTTTTCAATTTTGTGTAAATTTGGCAACTATTTTTTTTTGGAATTTGATTCGAAATGAAATGACGATTGTTAATGTTCTGGAGATCATAAATTGATTTATTTATAATTAACTTTCCATAGGGTAAGTAATCGCAAAAAAATCGAAAATGAAAATTTTTATATATCTTCACGTTTCAGAGGTTTCTGAATATGTTGGCATACCTTGGAGAAAATTGATGTATGTGTGTGTGTATGTGTGTGTGTGCGTGCATGTGTGTGTGTTCGGATACAAATTTTCGTCGACGATTTCGGGAACACGGATAAAGCAATTTGAATAATTCAAAAAACATTCTAGCCGTTCCGCAGATATGGGGCAAAAAGGGCCAAAAACGGTAACTTAGTTTTTAAGAGAACGGAGCGTTCGATTTGTATAGTTCAAAAAACATTTTACTTGTATTAACAAGATGAAGATTTGATCAAATTTTCATGAAGATAGGACTAGCGGTTTCGGAGATCTAGTAAAAAAAACTAAAAAAAAATAACATTTGGCGGTCAACAATAATCATTAGACATTAGACATATGCATATCAAATTATCAGATATTTTATTGAGATTTTTACAATAAGTATAAGTTTTGTTTACATTCCTATGGGTTCCGTACCATTGTTTTTCTGTTAGACAGCGACGCGGCGCTTACGCGCTTTATATTTTGTCTCTATGCAGTTAAAGCAGTACGATTGCTTTGAAAAAAAGTTCAGATCTTCCAAAATATATCAAAATGAAGATAACATTTTTTCCAAAAAAAAATTTTTATAAAAAAAATTGTTTAAAATTTTTTTTTAAAAAAAAATTTTATTTTCAAAAAAAGTAATTTTTTGTCCAATTTAAAATTTCTAAAAAATCTCATTTTTTCGAAGTAAAATTTTTTCAAAAATGTTAATCGTTTTTAAAAAAATAATAATTTTTGGTACGGGAAGTTCCAGCAATTTGCCTCAAGGCACGATGCCTTAATTGCCTTAAGACAGAATTCCACTTACAGCTAGTTTCAATTTTTTTTTTCAAAAAAAAAAATTTTGTTTATCGAAAATAATTCAGATTTTATTTTTGATTCTGACTAAACTAATATACTTTAAACAAATAATTTCAACTTTGCAATTCAGTTTACATAATTCTTATAAATATTAGAAAATGTTTCAATATTTATAATAATCATTCAATTTTCCTCGAACATTTACGGGAAGTTACGGTACGGGAAGTTCCAGCAATTTGCCGTACCGTAACGAAATGTTTGAAGACATTAAATGTTTTTAAATAGATTAATATAAATATTGTAATATGTCTAATATTTATAAGAATTATATAAACTTAATTGCAAAGTTGAAATTATTTGTTTAAAGTATATTAGAACTATAGTCAGAATTAAAAATAAAATCATAATTATTTTCGATATACAAAAAAAAAAATTTTTTGAAAAAAAAAGTTGAAACAAAAATTTTTTTTCCAAAATCAATTATTTTGCTAAGACAAGCGGAAAGTTCTTTGAATCAATTAAATCGGACTCTTAGTCCTCTCAAAAACTGCCATTTTTTGCACATTTAGCTCCGTATCTTCCAAATGGCTGAGTCTGCCTTTTCCAAAAACTAACAAACACTTTTCTCAATCATTACTAATTGAATGTTTTTTAGATCATTCAAATCGGATGCTCCGTTCTCTCAAAAACTCGATTTCTATTTTCTGCACTCTTTGCTTTTTATCTCCGTAACTGCTGGATCTGCCTTTGCCAAACACTAACCGGCACATCTTTCTACTAATAGGAATCGGATGTTTTTGAACCATTTAAATCGGTTGATCCGTTCGCCCGAAAACGTGACCGAAAAATTGTATCCATACATACACACACACACATACAACCATTTTTTCTGAGATATGCCAAAATGTTCAGAAACCTTCAAAACGTCGAGAAATGTAAAAAATTTCAGTTTCTATTTTTGGCCCATTACAATAACTTACCCTACGAGAAGTTAACAATATAAATCAAATAGGTCAAAACATTGCTCTTTTTGTCTATTTAATCGATTTGCATGCATTGACAAAGCAGACACACAAATTATGCAACTTGAGCGAATTCAGATGGTATTAAGTTACATACTGTGTTAAATAAGAATAACCTAATAATGTAACTAATTATTGTTTATAATATTTTGCCGTGTTATCAGAATCTATCTTTTGAAATTTTAATGAACTATTAAAATTACAATATACAGCAAAATGTTATAACAATATTAGATTAGTAAAAAGTTATATAATTAGTTTTTTTACGACTATTATCATCAACATTGTTTGATAATTATTATATTGCAAACATACTGAACAATTTTTTTACATGTTTATATTTTCATTTTTTGCAAATAATTTTTAATATTTTCTCTCTTTTGTTATAATCAATTATACAATACATTTATTTTTTATTTTTCCCTGAGGGCAGGCAACAATATTTTGTGCGACTTTGATAAACAATCAAAGTACATGGTCAGAGCGCGCATGAACAAGATGTAGCTTCGTAGTAGTCTTATGATAGAATAAGCGGAGTTTCTGTCCGTCTGTAAACTTATTCCGTCACAAAAAGAAAGGATAAATTGTAAAGTTACTCAAATTGGACTTTTCATTCAATCGGTATGCTAGAACAATCATCTATCAGCTAATGCATAAATAAAAGTTAAAATAAAGTACTCACGGATTCGAAGAGACAATACTATAACCAATAATTCAAATTAACATCTATTGCTACCCAAGACACCCGGTTATGATAGGAGTTGGAAGGATTTTACCAATTGGGACAACGGAGCTACCAATGGTCACCTAATCGTTCTATTGACAATATACGAGGCAGACGACCAGACCAGGACTGTGGATTGACTCATCTTTGGAGCAGAACCAGAACCTACCCCTATACCACAACCAAATCTATTTCAATGGTTAAATTATCATGGATTAGATCCCACTCTGGTACGCAACGAAGAAGGAACATGTAACAATGATTCACCAAAGCACTATATGATTAATTGACTATATGACTATATGATTAATTTTTAACAAAAAATATTTGACAAATGGCAAGAAGAATGTAATAATTCGTCGGATACAAAGAAACGATACTGCAAGGTGAACAACCCCAAACTGAAGAGAAAACCGCGGTTTCGGAAATATGTAGAAAAAAACAGAGGTACAATCGTATCATTAACGAGATTGAGACATAACCATGACAATTTCCCTGCACATCTGAAAAGGCTAAGAATAATAGCGTCAGAATCGTGTCATTGTGAATGATGCACCAATTGAATCAACTGAACACATCATACTAGAATGCAGACTATTTGAGGAAAACAGGACAAAATTGTTATGGAACTGCACCCCATGAAAACGCTGATCAAACCCTTCAACATGTTATCATTATTACAGAACTTAAATTGTTACCCATACATAATTAGGCTTATTAATGAAAGTAAAGTAAATATATAAGTGAATAATATTATATGATTGTGACTTATATATTGCATATTATGTATGTGAGTAAATGTTTATCAGATACCAACGAAAGAAAAGAAAAGTTGGTATTGGTATTTTGCCTTGAGGCAAGTTACATGAATGTGTAACCGATATGTGTAAATAATCGACTTATTGACAATAAAAAAACGATGAGTGATTAAAAGTATTCCGAGTGGTTTTAAAACACATAATTGAAAACGAACAAACTCGTTAACTTGGAGTATTTTTTAAAAGCAAATTTTCAAAAATCAATAATTTTCATAATTGAACCAGTTTCCGTAGAACTTTAATGATTTAGTATGTTCATTAAGACTAAGTACTCTATCGTTATACCAAGTAAATTGTCTATTTTTAACAAACGTCAAAAAAACTACTTATTTTCTCAAACTTTGATGAATTTTTAAAATTAAATTACTTGCCGTAAGGCCGCAATATTTCAGTCAGTTCTATAAGACCATGATAAGACCAAAAAAAGTTCCATAAAAATCGGCTTCAATTTTTTTTTTTCAACAGTTAAATACAAGGAAACGGCTCGGTAGATTTTTACCGATTTTTACCTGCAGTATCATTCCCAACTAATATCTTTCGAACAGTTTTTGATTTTTTAAAATCGGTTCGGTAGGTTGAAGTTAAATGTGGACGAAAAGTTTAACACTTTTTTTTCAAATTACAAAGAAACGACTCGGCAGATCATCTCACAAAACTGACAAACGATAGTCCTCATTGATATACATGAAATGGCTCTTAAATTTCTGAAATCGGTTCAGGCGTTTTTGAGAAAACGTCGATCAAAGGTCTAATTTTGACAAATGCCAAAAAAACGTTACTGATTTTTGCAAACTTTGAAGAATTTTCAAAATTAAACGACTTGTCGTAGGGCCGTGATATTTTAGTGTGATCTACAAGACTATGATATCTACCGTGAAAAAAAAATCATAAAAATCTTCGATTTTTTTTTAACTTCATTACAGGAAAACGGCCCTGCCGATCTTTACCAAAAACTAATCAGCACGATTCCCAACCAATATCTATAGAATGTTTTTTAATTTTCAAAATCGATTCAGAATTGCAGGCTAAAACGTGGCCGAAATTTTTTTCACTTTTCTGCAATTTACAAAGAAACGGCCCGGCTGATCGTCGCACAAAACTCAGAAACGATAGTCCTCATCGAGATACATCGATCGGCTTTTAAATTTTTGAAATCGATCCATCCGTTTTGGAGAAAACGTCGATTTACGGCAAAAAATCTGTTGCCGTAACACACACATACTTTTTCCAAATTTGGTCTCATTCGATTCAGAATGCCTTGAAACGTCGAGAAAACATAAAATTAGCAAGTAGGATTTTTTTATGTAAACGGGCAATTAAAAATAATCTTCATATTGATTATACCCCAGCGAGATTCCACATGGTAGCAGACGCGTTATCACTGCCCAATATTGACGATGAAGGACCCACAGTCACACAATTCGGTATGTTTGCAATTGATTACCCAAGCAGAAGTGCGACGGAAACACGATAGGGTCAGCTGCAAGACGACAAGTTACAGGAAATATTTGACGTTCCGGAAACAGCAGAGCAACAACAGGACAACCGCAAATGATACGCAGACAAACAACGGCGACTGGGTCAAATATACAACTCTCATGACTGAGTATGGGTAGCCACCTATACTCTGAGTAAACTCGCTCCACGACGAGACGGGCCATATATCATACTAGAGCAGAAAGACCCGATCAGCTACGAAGTAGGCCGGCCCGATAACACAAGTAAAATCATAGGCACAGAAGCATCAGCCTTATCGCCTTTCTTAGGAGATGAAGACACTACACCTGTGATTCCGATCAGAAAACGCTTTGGGCCCAAGAAGAGGACTTCGACTCAATAGAATGTTTCTTTGAATGGACTCTCCGCCGGGACGACAATAGGCCCATAGGGAGAGTCTGTATCATTCTTTAGTTAATGAATAAATATTAGTCACGTAGAAATTTATAATTAACTTTGTACAATTTGCTGTACGCAAATATTTTTCGTAAACAACGCGCCGAAATACCAGTGACGTCACCAAAGAGAAAGTTACGCATTCAACGTAATACACGTAATACAACGCGCCCTGTGACTCAGCGAGGGAGTGAGAAAGACGATAAAATTTATGCATTCTACGGCATCATAACCAATTATCAATGACTTCAGCGAGATGAGTTCATCATAAACAATGGCAATCTCATCCCTCGAAGATATTGCCGAGATGAACCAACGGGCGAACTAAGCAGTTCGCTAAAGCGGTTGGTAAGGATTTTCGCTGAGTCTTTAATAACTCGACGCCCAGAATCATTTCAGCTATTACTGAGTTCAAGTGAAATCGACGTGCATTTCCACGAACAATATTTTAATAAAAGTTAATAGTTATTATCATTGTGTTTTCACTATGAATAAAAACTGTTACTAAAAAATAATAATTGTATTGTTTTAATATAATTGTATAATATAATTGTAAACATTTAGTAGATTATCTTAAAAAATCGATGTTTGTGTGTGTTTGGATGCACTTTGTCGTCTACGATTTCAAGAGCACGGATCAACTGATGTCAAACATTCAAAAATGTTCTGATTAGTTTTTGGTCAAGGCAAGTCCAATTGTTTGAAAAACAATTTATAAATGATAGCTTTGGCTACGTATGATTTGTGTGTGATATACTTTGGTTTCAAAGTGACTTAAAAATATTAAATGAAGCTCAAAAACAAATTCTTAATAATAGTTTTCTGAATATTGATTCAAACTTTTCGAAAGGCATTAAATTTGGGTAAAATTTCCACTTTGTGTAAATTTAACGGGTTTGTATTTCCACCTATACCAAATTATCTACCTAAACTAGATACTGTATCTGAAAGGTAAATTTTACCTAGATTGTGTTTTCATGCAAATTAGACGATTGCGACATGCAAATGGACAATTTGAAATATTTGGCCAAATTATAAATGTGCCTGTTGACGTTAATAATATGATTAATTTATTACCTCGTAATATTGATGATGATGATTGCATTAACGTTGACAAAAAAAAGAAAATGATATATAGATCAAGCTATGTGCAGGGCTTGATAAATAAAACAAATATACAAGTATGGCTTCAATTTTTTAAGCAAGACAGATATTACAACTGTTCAAAGAATGGGATTATATCGCCAGGGAAAAAGTAAAAAAATACAAACAGTCAATGAATGTATGTTAATTTTAATTACATGAAGTTCTTCAAACACAATTATTACATGATGAGTGAAGGTACGAAAACAATATTTGTTTAGACGTTGTTTAACATAATCCACTGTGTGAACGAATATTATAGAATTTATTAATCAGCAATTACTTTATTTCCCTAATGAAGGTTTGTTTCTGAATGCTCATTACAATGACAAACCGATCATATCATATTTCAAGTATGACTTTGATTACATTATTGTTTGTAAATATTATACATATTTTTAATGCTATCAAAAATATAGCATATATAATTTTTGATAGCATTAAAAATATGTACACACATTTAACTTATCATTATATAAATATTTATAATGGTCGACATTAATAAATGTCTGCATCACTAGTGTTACCATATTACTAATAAATATTATTCAAAATTGTTATATAATGTATTTATTTTTTTACTTAACTTAAATTTGCTACTTTGTACAGTAGCAAATAAGTTTTATTTAATCGCGTGTAATCCTTACGCGCACTCTTTTTTTTTAAATTCCATGGGCTTACAAGACTACGCTGCGACGTTGTGCGCTTTGATATTTTGTCTCTTTAACTATTATGCAGCTTAAATGGTTTGAAAAAAAAATCAAAAATTTTATAATAATTTAAAGTATTTAACAATTTTAAATTACCGTACGGGAAGTTCGAGCAGTTTGTCTAAAGGCACATACATGCACTGCTAGTTATTTGAAAGTTATTTTTTTATTTTCCTTATTTTTAATAAGAATCTTTAATTTTTTTTGAATATTTCATTACGATACTCCTTGTACCATTAGTTCAATTTATTACATCGGCTAAAAATACTGAGGCTGACACACAAATAGCTCTACTAATAAAAAATCCATATGCATTTTAGGATGTAAAAATTTTTAAGCGATACCTGTCAAATTTGCATGACAATTCGAAGATAAGTTTGCAAGTAACATAGTTTAAGTTACGCTACTTTTAAGTTATTAAAAACCACGTGTTCAAAGCAATTTCGTGTGTTGATTTATCATAGCTTTTTGATGGGTAAAAGCACCATCATCATCTGGGCTCAATTTGCCAAATCGAGGCGAACGGTGGACAAGTATTTTCCTGATTTTAATCATGGCCATACAGACAATGACGATACTGAACGCTCTGGAAGGCCAATTGTGTTGGTTACACCGGAAAACATAAAAGGTCTACCGAATCGTTTTGGAAAACCAAAAAGTAAAATTGACTGATATTGCTGACACTCTAAAAATATCAATAGGACTTCTTAGACATATCGTTCTAACACTAACGACACTAACGACGCAGGAATCAAAGTGATGGTTGCTTATACACTCTACTTACAAATATTTTTGTTAAAAAATTTCTAAATTTACTTGTAGTGATATATCTGTGTTGGACCTTTTTACAGCGGATCTTTAAGACCCGCTCTACCCTATGCAAATCATAAATTATGCCTGTTGTACCTGTGTAACCTTCTTTATATACCATATTTCATCTTTAGCAAATAATTTCTTTTAAACTACGATACCTTAAATTCACTAAAATTTAATTACTTACAAAAATTTGTAACCATTCTCTTCTTTGATATAAGGCTTGTTTTCATAACTAACTATTTTTGCGTTTTCTGAATCGTCCAGAGGAGCACAACTCGCCAGAGTAAACATGACTGATAGGATAGCCACAACCTGTCAAAATATATTGATTTAATAATTAATAATTACATCTAAATCTTTTAAATTTTTATAATTCTTCATTATTTTTGAGAAGTTATTCGTTTAAATATTGTTTTTTGACATAGATAGATAGATAGACAGAAGATTTCAGTATATAGATTACAATTATTTCATGTATTATAATTTATTATGTGAGATTTTCTAACTGTGGGTATTCCACTCCAAAATTTCTAATTTAACAATTCATTCAGTGTCTATTGATATATACATACAATACTACAGCCATATAAAAAAGGGCAAAAAAAAGGAGAAAAGTTTATTACGCTCAAAAAAAAAGTCTTAATTCCAGAATTTTTTTACGGGATGCTCATGCACATTGCTACGGGCTCGATCAGGTAGTTTGGCATGGAATGTAATACAATACAATATGTTCTATATAATGTTTCCCAATTTATATCGAATACCTATCGAACACTATCACACACACTTGCACAGCGTGTTTATTACAAAACATAGGTTTTTCTCCAAAATCTCACCCTTGCAATTTAGAAATTTGACAGAAATTTATATTCTTGGACAAGCCTCGGATTCGCGGGTGCTTACGTATAAAATTTCATTTATTAATTATTTTTTATTCTTTACAAAAAAGAAATTACTGACATTTGGTGCATGTTTCCAACTATTAATTAATCATTTACAAGCTGTTGTAATATGTGTAAGTGATAATCTAAGAATTTCAAGTAAGTAATGTTTTATGCAATATTTTATTTTAAGGTTTAGATATAATTAGTCTGTCTTTTTAGTTAAATCTTTTTTTTTTTATTTTTGCTCTGTGTATATTTAGTTTTAAACGTTACTCTTTTTTTTTTTAATTGTAGAACCACTGACTTTGACGTAGAATTTTACGTCAAAACATATGAAAACTGGGGTGTATGGCATCGTGCCTTAAGGCAAATTGCTAGAACTTTCCGTGCCGTAATGAAATGTTCGAGGAATATTGAATATTTTCAAATAGATTATTGTTAATATTGTAACATTGTCTAATATTAATAAGAATTATATAAACTGAATTGCAAAGTTGAAATTATTTGTTTAAAGTATATTAGAACTATAGTCAGAATTAAAAATAAAATCTGAATTATTTTCGATATACAAAAAAAAATTTTTTTGAAAAAAAAAGTTGAAACAATTTTTTTTTCCAAATCAATTATTTTGTTAAGACAAGCAGAAAGTTCTTTGAATCATTTAAATCGGACGCTTAGTTCTCTCAAAAACTGCTATTTTTTCACATTTATTGCAAGGCAGACCCACCCATTTAGAAATGGTTGGGCCTGCTTTTGCCAAAAACTATTAAACACTTTTACCAATCATTACTAATTGAATGTTTTTTAGATCATTCAAATCGGATGCTCCATTCTCTCAAAATCTCGCTTACTATTTTCTGCACTCCTTGCTCTTTATCTCCGTAACTGCTGGACCTGCCTTTGCCAAAAACTAATCAGCTCTTCTCCCTATCAATAGGAATCGAATGTTTTTTGAACCATCCAAATCGGTTGATCCATGCGCCCGAAAACACGACGTGACATCCATTTTTCTGAGGTATGCCAAAATATTCAGAAACCTTCAAAACGTCGAAAAATGTAAAAATTTTCAATTTCGATTTTTGGTCCATTACAATAACTTACCCTACGGGAAGTTAATAAAGCAAGCAATCGCTCTAAGTTAGCTGCGTAGAGACAAAATATCGTAGCGCAAAAACGTCGCGTCATATACTAAAATGGTTACCACCACATACTAACGGATAGAAATGTAAACAAAATTTGTATTTATTATTAGAATCTCTATAAAATACCTGATAATTTGATGTGCATATGGCTAAAGATCATTTTCCGCCGAATTTTTTTACTTTTATTTTGTATCTCCGAAACCTTTCGAAATATAAAAAAATTCAAATTTTTGGAAAAAGTTTTTTTTTTTTAAATTTCAAGTTCTTAAAAATCTCGTTTTAAGTTAAAAAAGTTATTTAAAAAAATTATTTTTCGATGCGGTAATTTCCAGCAATTTGCTCTAAGGTACGATGTCACGCACTAGTAGTTTTACTTTTTTAAAAGATATCCGAAACTACTGTTCGTGCCTTCTCAAACATTTCATTTCATTTAATTAATGCAAGACATTGTTTTTTAAATGATTAAAATCGGACGCTCTGTTCTCTCAAGAACTGATTTACCATTTTTGGCACATATCTTGGAGACGGTCAGATCTGCCTTCACCAAAACCTTATCAGTACTAACTTATCTCCCTATTAATATGCATCGAATGTTTTTTTAATTACTCAAATCGGTAGATCAGTGTTCACGATATTATCAATGTTAATTTGTATACGCACACACACACTCACACATACACACGCACACACACATACATCAATTCTTTCTAAGGTATAATAAAATGTTCAGAAACCTTTGAAACACAAAGATATATTAAAATTTTCATTTTCGTTTTTTTGCGATTACTGTAGCTTACCCTAAGAGAAGTTAATTGAACAAAACTGAAAAATTGAAAACAAATTACGGAAATTCCCATTTCGTAATAGAATTTTCGAAAAATATTAAATGTTTTGAAATGTATTATTATAAATATTGTAACTTTCATTATTCGTATTTTTTAAACAAAATATAAGGGTCTGTAATAAATTGGACAATGACGTTTATATAAGTTTACATGAAAAGTGAATGAATAAAACTTAATTAGGCGAAGGTAGAATGAAAGTCCGTATCTCATATTTGTAGGAATTATATAAACTGAATTACAACGTTAAAATTATTTATCTCAAGCATATGAGTGACCTTTGGAATTTTAGTTAAAACTTCCCGATATGAGTAAATAATCGTCTTAATCAACAAAAAACCAGTGTGGTGTATGGCATCGTGCCTTAAGGCAAATTGCTGGAACTTCCCGTATTGTAACGAAATGTTTGAGGAATACTGAATGTTTTCAAATAGATTATTATAAATATTGTAACATTGTCTAATATTTATAAGAATTATATAAACTGAATTGCAAAGTTAAAATTATTTGTTCAAGTTATATTAGAACTTTAGTCAGAATAATAAGTCAGTTTAATCTGAATTATTATCTATATACAAAACAAAAGAAAAAAAAAAAAAAAGAAAAAAATTTTTTTTTACCAAAATCAATTATTTTGTTAAGACAAGCAGAAAGTTCTTTGAATCATTTAAATTGAACGCTTAGTTCTCTCAAAAACTGCCATTTTTTACATATTTAGCTCCATATCTTCGAAATGGCTGGGCCTGCCTTTGCCGAAAACTGATAAACACTTATCCCAATCATTACTAATTGAATGTTTTTTAGATGATTCAAATCGGATACTCCGTTCTCTCAAAAAGTCGATTTATATTTTCTGCACTCATTGCTCCGTATCTCCAAAACGGGTGAACCTGCCTTCGTCAAAAACTAATCAGCTCTTTTCCCTATCAGTAGGAATAGAATGTTTTTTGAATCATTCAAATCGGTTGATCCGTGCGCCCGAAAACGTGACTGGAAATTGGTATCCATGCATACATACATACACACACACACACATCCATTTTTTCTTAAGTATGCCAAAACGTTCAGAAACCTTCAAAACGTCAAACCCTACGGGAAGTTAATAAAATAATTTATGAGTGATTATTATTTAGTGGATTGGGGAGTGGATTTATTACACATAATTGAAAACGAACGAACACGTTAACTCGGAGTATTTTCTAAAAGCAAATTTTCAAAAATCAACAATTTTTATAATTGAACCAGGTGCCGTAGGACTTTAATGGTTTCATATGTTTATTAAGACGAAGTACACAAGTCATGGCAGAAATTACCTAACTTTACTTAGATTTTTGTTCAAATAAAACTATCATTTTTCTTTTTACATCATACAAAAAAATTATAAAAAATGCATGGTGTTGACAAGTTAGTTATATAAATGTTAGTGCTAATTTCTAGTGTTGTGCACACTTCTCTAGATGTAACCTACCAACGTTAATATCCACTGATGATGACATTAAATTGAATGTCGAAACGTTTGGAATTAAAGATTAATTTATAAATCTTTGCTTTTTATCCTTTGATGTATCGCCCCTCAAGAACTTACTCATATATATATATATATATATATATATATATATAAAGCGAGAGGTTTTTCTTCAGATGGTGAAATAATATAATAAAATTGTTTCTTGGGCATCCATCCAGTAATTAAAAAACAGTTTTAATAAAAAATGTTTTTATTTAAAGAACATACGTTTCGGGTCTTGATTTGACCCATCTTCAGTGCTACAATTAAATAATTCAGGGTTACAAATTAAAACAATATAAAAAATATACATAATTAACAGACAAAAATAAGTAAAACAATGTATATGAAAATGTTTTTCAAAGTTTATTTGTATGGTGAGTTTCTTTACTTTTGTTTATTTTATGGTTGTTTTTCATATATACTTTTCATATTATATATATTTATTTTTCTCAAACACGGTGCTCTGAAAGATCTCATTTGAATAATTATATACTCATTGGTATTTATAAAACATTTTCTAGGTTATATTATTTTTTATTTATCTTATTTAAATTCAGAACCTAAATTTGGTATCGATCGAATGGACATTTTGTCGAATAACATTTTTCCAATTATAATTTCCCAGAATTTATCGCAGAATAGATATTAATATATGAAGGTCCGGGATTAAAAAGGTCCACCACCAATGTGCCAAAAATCAGTAAAGTTAAGCATTGTTTAACAACAATATTTGAAAGTAGAGGAAAAAAGATGTATAGGCAGCTACAAACTTGATTTGAAAACGATAATCTTTGAAATGGGGGAGATAAACGGTAATCTTTGAAAATCCATAATAAAAGTATTTTCTTCCGTTGGTAGTTTTAGCATTAGTTAAAAATGTAATTATTTTGTAAAATACCTTTATAATTATAATAAGGCTTTAAACCTTTTGCCACCTGCCCGTTACAAGTTACCCCGCATATAGGATAAAAAGGTCTAGATAACAAATTTTTGAAAGACATCAAAAAAGCACATTTCTTCAATAATGAAGTAGAAGTCAGTTTACTGAACGTAGTCAGATAATTGTCCGTTTGATATGTCTTATTTGTTGTGATATAATTGTTATGGTTTTCACAATATAGTTTATATTTGCTCAAAGTCAAATTGGACCTTTGTGCCTCGCCCTGCTCTACATATATACTTTTTATTAAATTTACTTTAATTCATCGAATGTAACTTGAAACTTTTCAAAAAGCAGGTCAAAGAAGAAATATATATTCATTTTTTATCTCTCCTCGCAAAAATTTGAAAATTTTGTATAAGCTCAGTAGTATTATTTACAATTATACACAAAATCTAGAATCCAAAAAGAATCTGAAAAACTTGAAACGTAATTAATAAGCCGAAAGACCAAAAAAGACTCGGATTGGATTATACGATGTTTTCCAAAGAATGTGTATAAAACTTGCAGTTTGATTGTATTGACAAAATATAGACAAACTAATGGGGTTTATTGTTTTTATAATACCTAATTGTATGCAGCATTCAAACAACACATCCTTATGCACTTAAAGTATTAATATTTTTGATTCTCTAGAAATGGTTTAGAATATACCTTATTTAGCAAAACAACGTTTGCCGGGTCAGCTAGTATATATATATATATATATATATATATATATATCTGCTAGTATATATATATATATATATATATATACTAGCTGACCCGACAAACGTTGTTTTGCCATAAAAATATGTCTAGTATGAAAATTACTAATTGATTGCAAATTGGTATGTAAGTGAAAGGAGCAGCTAACAAAAAACATATGAATAGTTTAACCACTGCAAAGCACGTCACATATAAATGTTCCTGGATAATATTAATAGTCTTTGCAAGAACCAACCTAATCTGAAACTATAACGATTATATTTACACCAATTAGCACATTTACAGTTTCAAGATTTTGATATATAATTACCGCGCTTTTCATTAATTCATTAATTTTTGATTTACGAAGCAAAACCCGATTATTTATTAACTTCCCGTAGGGTAAGTTATAGTAATCGCAAAAAAATCGAAAATGAAAATTTTTATATATCTTTACGTTTCAGAGGTTTCTTAACATTTTGGCATACCTTAGAAAAAATGGATGTATGTGTGTGTGTGTGTGTGTGTGTGTGTGTGTGTATGTGTGTGTGTGTGTGTGTGTGTATGTATGTATGTATGTACGTGTGTGTATGTATGTGCGGATACAAATTTTCGTCGACGATTTCGGGAACACGGATCAACCGATTTGAATAATTCAAAAAACATTCGATTTGTATTGATAAGGAGACGTGCTGATTAGTTTTTGGCGAAGGCAGGTCCAGCCGTTCCAAAGACACGGGGCAAAAAGTGCCGAAAACGGTAACTCAGTTTTTAAGAGAACGGAGCGTCCGATTTTAATAATTCAAAAAACATTTGACTTGTATTGACAAGATGAAGAATTGATCAAATTTTCATGAGGACAGGTCTAGCGGTTTCGGAGATCTAACAAAAAAAGTAAAAAAAAATGCCATTTGGCGGTCAAAAATGATCATTAGACATATGCACATCAAATTATCAGATATTTTATAGAGATTTTAACAATAAGTATAAATTTTGTTTGCATTCCTATGGGTTCCGTACCAATATTTATTCGTTAGACGGCGACGCGGCGCTTACGCGCTTTGACATTTTGTCTCTATGCAGTTAAAGCAGTACGATTGCTTTGAAAAAAAGATCTTCCAAAATATGCCAAAATAAAGAAAACATTATTTTTTCCAAAAAAAATTTAAAAAAAAAAAAAAAATTGATTTTTTTTTGAAAAAATTTTTTTTTTAAAAAAAAGTATTTTTTTGTTTAATTTATAGTTTCTCAAAAATCTTATTTTTTCGAAGTAAATTTGTTTTAAAAATGTCAATCGTTTTTAAAAAAATAATAATTTTTAGTACGGGAAGTTCCAGCAATTTGCCTTAAGGCACGATGCCTTAATTGCCTTAAGACAGAATTCCACTTACAGCTAGTTTCTAAATTATGTTGTTATGTGGCATGCCCAACGAATCGATTAACATTTATGCTTTAAATTCTTATTTATGGTATATTTTTTATGATGTATATATGTTTACACATACCTATATTTCTTAGCGGTAATAATATATATTTTAAATATTGTTTCATTTACTGTGTGAATTTGTTTAACGCCAGATCCAACGAATTTTATATTTTAATTATTGCTACTGCCCCTGATAATGAAACATATATTTATTAAATTGAAATTTAGTCAAACACATTAAATTTCACAAACAATACTATTAATATTTAATAAAAATAAATTTTAAGAATCTCACAAATATATATTGCTTTCTAAACTTTTCATCAATTCAAAATTGGCAAAATAAAGTTACATAATATTTATTAATTTATTTAGCAGATAATAATATATAATCTTCAAGTGGACTCACATAGAAACGCGGTATGAACCGATGCATTCAAATATACAATATAATCATAGAACAAATGTTCTTTATACTGTTTCAGTGTTGAGTACGCCTCAGCAGAGGGTCTACTGTACCCAACGTTATCGCTCAAATTGTTCGTAAGTCGTTAGTCTAAGATCAATCTGATTCACTTGTCAAACATTATTGAAATTACCAAAAATAAAATATTTTGGCTATAAATTGAAACTTTTAATATACTCTATTATTATATGTCCTAAATGGGATCTCTATATGCACACGGTGAGCAAAACAAATTTTGAATCGGTTCAGTATTTTAGGCGTCCATCGCGGACTTTAGGTGTGACAGATATATATATATATATATATATATATATATATATATATATATATAAATTATTTAACTGGTCTTTGCCAAAAATCTAATCAGCAGGAAAACATTTTGAATTTTCGAAAAAACTTCAGAATTTTTGGCAAAAACCTGAAAAATAATTTTACACTGCCTTATCTGCCAATCTATCTATACAAGCGACTGGGTGAATAGTCGCCCAAAACCAATCAATGCGAAATGATTATTTTAGAAATTTGTGCAGCCGTATTTTTAGAAAACTTGAGGAAAGGTCAATTGTAGGTATCCAATATTAAACGAACATAAAATACTTTTTTTTGAATGACTTGAAATGTTAAAGAAACTTTAAGCTAGCAAATAGAACTTCCTGGTACAAAAAAAAATCACCGGAAAATTAATATAATTTCGTTTTTAAGAATACTAAAAATTAATTTTTGATTTGGTTGTTAACAGTCATTTTTTTATTATTAAATTTTAAGTGATGAGAAAAGTGACGCTTTCAGGAAGTTATTAAAATAATTTTGTATATATCAATTAATAACTTTTGGAACTAAATGATATATCAATTTCTTTGAAATATTTTTTGCAAACATAACGCCAGTGGATTGTATCATATTATCATTTAAAGTTTATCATTTACATATTTAAAATATTCATGAACTTATTCCCGCATTCACTTCATGATATTCCAAAGGTTCGATATTAGAGTAATTGTGATTTGCACAGTTTCAACACAATTCTGCACACGAGAACAGTTTATGATTAGCATAACTATAATTTCAACACATTTTTGAATAATTTTATTTTTGCTTCTTTCTCACCTTCATGTTCGAACTAAGATAGAGTAACTTGAAGACTAAAAATAATTATGAATTCGTTATAAGAATTGTTTGCAATCTTTTTATTATCTTAAATGTTCGCGCTGATTTCAAGGTGGACAAGGCATAAATAAAATACAAAGTATAGATTGCAAGATGCATCGTCATCGCATGAAAAGCCTATTAGTCCAAGAGCCAGTCAACTATTTGACTAACCTGTTTTCTCAAAGCTAGAAATTTTTTTAATGATATTTTATTATCCCATTACGAGAAAGTACCAGTCTGGCAGTCATTCAGCGATTGCGTCATCATCCCTTCAATTTGTGAAAATGTAAATTTTTTTCATAACTAATATAATGAAATGCCAATATGCCACGGGCCCCGGAGGGTTACGCTACTGCGACTGACAGACCATTGCAACTGTCAGAATCGGCTGGCTTTTCACATATGCTTTCTGAACAGTTGAAAGAATATACCCTCAAAATTTGAGCCTTGTGCGAGCAAGTTATGAAAAATTATACTAGTTTGTACACCCTCGCGGCGGTGATGGGCTTAGGAGCATTTAAGGGGCGATGCTTAGCTGTAGGGGGCGCTTATAGCACAAAAGTAAACTAGTTAGTATTGGTATTTAGCCTTAAGGCAAGTTACATGAACTTCCCGATATGTGTAAATAATCGACTTAATCAATAAAAAATAAATTAATTTATGAGCGATTAAAAGTATTCCGAGTGGATTTATTACACATAATTGAAAACGAACGAACACGTTAATCGGAGCATTTTCTAAAAGCAAATTTTCAAAAATCAACAATTATTATATTTGAACTAGTTTCCATAGGACTTTAATGGTTTAGTATGTTTATTAAGACCAAGTACTCTATTGTTATACCAAGTAAATCGTCTAATTTTAATTTTAGCTAACGTCAAAAAAACTACTCATTTTCTCAAACTTTGATGAATTTTTAAAATTAAACTACTTGTCGTAAGGCCGTAATAATTCAGTTCTATAAGACCATGATATATATCGCTAAAAAAAATCCATAAAAATTGGCTTAAATTTTTTTTTTCAACAGTTAATTACAAGAAAACGGTAGATTTTCACCTAAAACTAATCAGTACCATTTCCAACTAATATTTTTCGAACAGTTTTTGATTTTTTAAAATCGATTCGGTAGTTTGAGCTTAAATGTGGACGAAAAGTTTAACACTTTTTTTCAAATTACAAAGAAACGGCTTGGAAGATCGTCGCACAAAACTGACAAACGATAGTCCTTATCGAATTATTAATTTATTTTAAATTTCTGAAATCGGTTCAGGCGTTTTTGAGAAAACGTCGATGAAAGGTTTAGTTTTGACAAATGCCAAAAAAACGATACTAATTTTTGCAAACTTTGACGAATTTTCAAAGTTAAACCAATTATCGTAGGGCCGTAATATTTTAGTATGATCTAGAACAGGGGTCGGCAAGCTTTTAACTGTGGTGTGCCGAGCCACTATACCAATATGATTCAGGGTGCCGCCTGAATTCTGAAATATATAACCAGGTTCCGGGGGAGAAGAATTATAATCAAATTTATCTTTTAAACATTTTTATTAACTAGTGGGGTGCATGGCATCGTGTCTTAATTCAAATTGCTAGAACTTCCCATACTGAAATTAAAAATCATGGTACTGAACCCAAAAAAAAATTACACATAATATGTACACAGTATTAAAATCTCTATAAAATATCTGATAATTTGATGTACATAAGTCCAATGGGTGTAAAAATACTACAATGTTTATAAAAATACTACAATGGGTGTAAAATTACTGCAATGTTTGTAAACAATACTACAACGGGTGTAAAAATACTACAATGGGTGTAAAATTACTACAATGTTTGCAAAAATACTACAATGGGAGTAAAATTACTACAATGTTTGTAAACAATACTACAATGGGTGTAAAATTACTACAATGGGTGTAAAAATACTACAATGGGTGTGAAATTACTACAATGTTTGTTAAAATACTACAATGGGAGTAAAATTACTACAATGTTTGTAAACAATACTACAATGGGTGTAAAATTACTACAATGGGTGTAAACAATACTGCAATGGGTGTAAAATTACTACAATGGGTGTAAAAATACTACAATGGGTGTAAAATTACTACAATGTTTGTAAACAATACTACAATGGGTGTAAAATTACTACAATGGGTGTAAAATTACTACAATGGGTGTAAAATTACTACAATGGGTGTAAAAATACTACAATGGGAGTAAAATTACTACAATGTTTGTAAACAATACTACAATGGGTGTAAAATTACTACAATGTTTGTAAACAATACTACAATGGGTGTAAAAATACTACAATGGGTGTAAAATTGATATGTGGAACCAAAAGGTGAAAGGATAACGCATGCAATTTTCTTTAAACAATTAAATATTTCCGACAATGTCATCCAACAATTTAATTTTCCATGGAGTCGTCTTCCTGATTTTTTCGTAATTCCTTAAATTTTGTTTTCCATAATTCTAAAGATATTAGTTCCATAATTTCCATTTCAAAATCATCAACATTCATCCACTCAAAAATTGAAAAATCAAACGGTATTATTGATGGATCTATGAAATCTGGTTTTATGAGGAAGGAAAATTTAGGCACATAAGCTTTAAAGTCTTTGCATCTGGAAAATTCATCTTTAAGTGCTTCAATGTAGATTGAATTACATTAGCGAGCTACATTAGATAAGTAATTATATTTCAACATTTTTTCTTATTTAAAAATCACTTCGTCTCGATATATTTGCGATTGCCCTGATTATTTTGTAGAGTGCCATGCAGAACGCCGTCGCGTGCCAAGCCTGGCATGCGTGCCGTAGGTTGCCGATGCCTGATCTAGAAGACTATAGTATCTACCGTCAAAAAAATAATAATAAAAATCGTCAAAAAAATTTTTTTAACACTTTATTACAAGAAAACGGCCCGATCGATCTTTACCAAAAACTAATCAGCACGATTCCTAATCAATATCTTTCGAACGGTTTTTGAATCTTCATAATCGGTTCAGAATTGCGGGCTAAAACGTGAACGAAAAATTTTTCACTTTTCTGCTATTTATAAAGAAACGTCTCGGCCGATCGTCCCACAAAACTGACAAACGATAGACCTCGTCGAGATACATCGAATGGCTTTTAAATTTTTGAAATCGGCCCAGCCGTTTTCGTCGATTTACGGCAAAAAATCTGTTCACATACACACACACACACACATACTTTTTCCAAATTTGGTCTCATTCGATTCAGAATGGGTTGAAACTGTCGAGAAAACATAAAATTAGCGAGTTGGATTTTTTGATGAAAACATAAACTTCTCTTTCGGGAAGTTAAAAAATTATATTATGAATATTATATATAAATAAATGATTAACATTAACACTGAAATATATAAAGATAATATTTTAGTTAAATTTATCCAAACATATATAAACAACTTTATAATACATTAGTTAACAATACTAAAAATCCCATTTTAGTAAAAAAAAATATTTTAATTCCTTTAGGTGCCGCCTTTGTCACTGTCGGCCCTGAATCATAATTCAATGCTGACTTAAATCAAAATTTAAAATCTTATTGTTCTTAGAGATAACACAATTAGCAAGCCAGTTAATGATTACGCAATACATCCGAACAATGTTGCAAACATAAAAATATATTACGTAATATGCAATTAGTCTACTGAGGTCATTAAAACTAAATTAAAATTAAATTTTCTTAGTATTTACTACTTTAAAACTAAATTGGCATAGTCCAATTGCGCAATGCATCTGCCACCAAACAAAAGTTATGATCTCTGTCAAAAGTTAATTTTAAACATTAACTATGTTTAAACGTGTATGTGCAAGAAATGGTGCGCAAACAGTACCATAATTACATCAAAATTTTCTGAAAACGATGGTTCACACTTTCTTTGTGAGTCGACCATTTGTGCAACTTTTCAACGCGTGTAACTTTACTAAATTCTGTAAGAGATTCTGTGACGGATATATGATTATTACTTGCCTTGCTATTAATAATATTTCTTTGATATCTACCCGTAACTGGCCACCCGAGCACCGTGTTTTGCAAAATAAGTTTATCGCGACCTAGAATAATTCTTTCGTTACGTAAAGTTTCAAGTTTCAAAATACGTATCAACACCTATCAACATATCTACTTCGCGCGGGATGTTGAAGTGTGAATCCGAAAATCTTGATCCATTAGGAAGTACTACCAACTTAAGACTACCAACAATTCTGGCTGCAAAAAGAAATCCCGACGGCTTTCCCACAAATTTGGTATGTCATTGAAAAATTTCTGATTGCATTTCCGTCATCATACTTATATCATTAGTAGAACGGAGATTCAGCGCTGTAATTTTAACAAAAAAAAAAGAAACCGATTACTAATAGTCGATCGTGGTGATTTAACAGGGGCGTAACCACCGCCGTATCAGGCGTATCAAAAATACGGGGCCCCCGAGCCAGGGGGCCCCCAACGAGCGCAATCAGAAAACAACAATTTTTTAAAAAATTGAATAATTTTAATGTAGTTTGCATTTTCGTTTGTTATCGAGAGGTATTGAACGTTAACATGTAAGCTAACGCTTTAAAAGAATTTCCGCTGCAATATTTCTGCAAGCTCTAGCAATCAATTCAATTAGTAAAGTTTTTGCACATGCGATAAGTTAATATTCTTGTCAACAAATCTATAAAACTAATCCAGTTTATACATTCTTCATCGAAAATTGGAATTTGGAATTTTTATAGTTTTATTTATAACATTTTTATATTTGTTTTTGTTACTACTTGAATTGTCTGCATGACGCGTATAGTTAGATTTTGATAAATCTGATCAACTAAATCATTTTCAGATTTCTTTTTTCACTGTTTCAAATTATTAGTTTCATTTCTAAAATTTCACAATATGGCAGTAATGACTTATAAAAAACTAGCATTTTATTAAGCAGGGCCGTGCCTGGGTATGTGGCCGCCTGCGTGCGAGAATTTTTTGGCCGCCCTTGAAAATAA